GCACTTATTTGAATACAATAGACCACCTGGTAGGTGCTCAGGGTAATGGTTTTATTCATCCTGATACACAGCTATGTCTTTATCACAGACTGGAAACATTAATTGTGCTTGCCTGTGCCTGACAGATTTCATAATTATTAGGTGGTTTGATATTCATGTGTTTGCCTAACAGCACCCTGGTATTAGAATAAATAAGATAAAATACAATATAAAAGAAAACCAGTTTGATATCACCATAGTAATTGATCACAATTGATTAGCACATGGAAATAAAAGTCTGAAGTTTGCCTCTGACAAGAGCACCATGCCTACATTTTCATTTCCCTTATCTGACTAGCATGTGGAAATCTGAGGAAGAGGCTGTACCAGTTCCTGATGAGAGAAAAAGCAGAGCAGAAGTATACCTGGCAGAAAAGAAAAAAATTTTTGAGGAAAAAGAAAGAGAAATGAATAAAAGGGGCTCAAACCAAAACTGAGCAAAGCCATAAAAAAAGAACTTTCTCTGAACAGCAAGTGACCATGTACCAGTTTATAGATGCAAGTAGATATATGCCTGGGGAAGATGCTCACACTGAATTTTAACTGGTTTACCCTGCCCTGCTAATGTCCTGATGACTGGGCTAATGACACCAATAAACTGCCCTCAAAGTTTGACAATGGTCATTTCCGCCCAGCCGGTGTGGTTAAGTAGTGACCTATGAACCAGGAGGTCACCGTTAGATTCCAGTTCGGGCACATGCCCGGGTTGTGGGCTCGATCCATAGTAGGGGATGTGCACAAGGTAGTGGATCAATGTCTCTTTCCTTCTCCCTTCCTCTCTCTAAAAATGAATAAAAACATATATTTTTTAAAAGTAAAAGAAAGCTGTCATTTCCGAGATTTCAAGACTTTAAAAAATAATCTGCCAGGGAAAAGTCCAGTAACTGAAGTGGTGCCGTGACTTAAAGCATCGGCAGCATAGGGTGAATGCATTAATCTTGCAGGATGACAAATAACTGTATTTATTCAACAAAAATGCTCAGCTAAGTGGCACCTCCCCCATAAAAGCAATCTGTAGGGAGAGCTTCAGGCTTCCTAAGGGCAGCAAGCACTGCTCCCCAATTCCTGACAAGTGTCTACTCCTATTTAATTATTCAAACGTCCATCGATTCCCACATTGATAAAAAAGTCATAATTATCAAAGTGGCTTAAAGAGCCAGCCTTTTACTTTGCTGACTCTGCCCTGTGGAAAGAGACATCAAGTTTGTGTATTAAAGCCGCTCTCTCGATAAATAGTTGATAACACAAAAACCTAGTTGTGCATTCCAAGAAGGGCTGCAAGGGGCATCCAAGGTAAATGTCAATGCTTTCCCAGCATTACTGCCACAGACACACATTACCTATATTTCTGCTGTGTATTTATCAACACAATTCTGGAAAATGCAATTGAAACCCTTCGTTCCCATGAACAAGCATTCCCTGAATGCAGGACTAAATAGAATGAAACACCCAGCTCCTACCAAATTGTCCCCAAGGAGGATGAAATGAGAATCATGCCAGTTTAATGCCTTTTCTTGTGAATGTTAGGGCTGGGGAGCCCGGGAGTTTAACAGCCTAGGTTATCTGACCTACTAGAATGCCTCCCACTGAACCCCGGTATTAGAGGGGTAATGAAGCCATGCCTCCCCCAAAGAACCCAAACAAAGCACATTCTTTGGGGAAAATGAAGCGAGATGGAGGAGCTGAATCCTGGCATGAATATGTCAAATAGGAAAGTTAATTAAAGGGTGAAGTGAATCGAAACCCCTGCAGTATCTGCAGCTCAGGAAGGCAGCATCCAGGCACACAGCCACATACCAGCACCTTCCTTCCCGGGCCCGCGCTCCTGAACCACAGGAAGGCCTCTCAAGATTCAGTCCAGCTCCAACATCCAAGCCCCACGTCCCCCCATTCTGTACTGAAAACACACAACTTCGCTAAAACACGGACTACTGCATTTTATAAAATAAAAGATCTCCTCTTTGTAAGGAACTAATAGGTTGCTATTCCTGTGCTCAGCAAAGACAAAAAGGAGGAAAAAAAATAAGAAAAGTCTGGCAGTGAATACCTAATACATTATCATAAGCTAAAGTAGCAAAAGCCATGGTATGAAATACAGAAACAATTAATGAAATAGTCTCCTTTCTGAAGCCACAACAATGAGGCACATTATTAACTATGTGTATTTATGTTGAAGTCAGTGATAATTCTGCTACCTCCCATTAAATTACCTAATAAGAACCTATTACCAAAATGGCAGTTTTCCCTGTCCTCAAACACCTTAAAATAGATGGCCAATTATTACTTAACTTCTACTCACAATAACTACTTTATAAAGTTTTTGCCTTAGTGCAAAAAGTCCTAAAGTCCCATGCTAAAAATGAGCATACTACATCCATCACAACAGGAAGTGTCAATCAGAGAAACTACACAATAGAGTACATACAATTATACAGTGGCCTGCAGTATACCTCACTTAACTGAAATTCAAGGTTCAATGTCCATGCCTTAAAAATGTAATTACAGTCTATTATGCAACACAGTATTGTCACCTTTGAGTCCTCTTAATACAGTCAGTGTTAACGCATTTTTCAACCAAGTTTTCTCGGTCATTTTGAGAGTATCTTAACTGTTAAAGATGCAATGCTATAATGGAAGGATGCAGAGAGTTTTGACTTAGAGGAGTAATTTCCCATGCAAATGGCCAGAAACTTGAAAATAAAGAAGAGAAAGGCAACCGGCTCCTTGCTTTTCCAAATGATGCTATGCCTCCCACACTCTGAGCACCTCAGATCTTTTCTCATTCATCCTCTGAACTCTCTAAATCAGTGTTCTTTGCTAATTTTTAAAATAGTCATAGTTGGGGGCAATGGAATAAGACGGCCAAAAGATAACTGCAAAAATGGTCCCCAATGTGCATTGTCTAATGTGCCCGGCCCATCATTCATGGAAGTACTTGCCTAGCAAGCCAAAGCCCTGGGTACCTCATGACTCCATGGCCGGTGATTGCAATCCAAGAGCAAGAGCAGATACCCATCCCGGACCCTAATGCTAAGCAACACCTCACCTTCCTCGCATCAGATTACCAAATGCCAGGCAACAGCAAGAACTGACAACAAAGCCATAAACAGCTGGAAATAATTATACAATTGTCAAGCTGCAAAGATGACAAAAGCAAAGCTAGGCTTGTGAATTCACTATCAGAAAGGATGCTGATGAGAAGGTAAGAGAAGCATTTTAACTGTTTCCAATTTGCTATTATAGAGAAGCCAATAATATGGTTGATGGGGTTTTGTGCAGTGCGTGTGAATGTGTGTGTGTGTGTGTGTGTGTGTTTTCACTTCAGAGAGAAGAAAAATATATATTTCATGTGCTCCTACAAAATGTGAACTAGAAGATATGTAAGCACAACTAAAAAAACAGTCACAGGCTCTGAAGTAATGCTTTCAGAGTTGCTACAACTCCACTACAACATGCAGATGAAAAATATTTCTTTAAAGTTATACAAATATTCTCTTCTTTAAAAGCATAAGAAAAATACACAGACAATGCGATAGTCCAGAACTCTCCACATAACACATCTGACACATGGGCAAAACGCCAAGGCAGGGTACAGACTGGTCCAGAGTAAAAGAATACGAGCAGAAGATGCAATCCTTACAAACTGAGAGAAGGTTCACAGGTATGTAAACTATCATCGTCCATAAGGGTACATCAGAGCCTCACATTTTTATCAACTGCCTTTAATTCAATGAACTCCTTCCCCAAATAATGGAGTTGAGCAAACAATCTGCACAGTTTAAAAGAGTATGGCTATTGGCAGTTTTTAAACCAGAATAACATTCTATTATGGGCTGGTATTTTATTACGATATTTAAATTTCATGTGACAAACTGTTTCATATACTGTCCCCAAAAATGCTCCTCTCTGAAGCGGTATGCCATAAATAAAATACGTACTTGGTTACCAGGCAGCGTGCATAACACATATGTTACATTGGCCCAAAAAGCACATTTTAAAATGCTTAAAAGTTAACTTAACAATTTAAGCTGTTTGTACCCATTTTCGGAGAATTATCCCCTCAAGGCCAATTTTGTTTTCTATCTTTAAGAGAATACTTGGATTAATCCTGTTGATTTGTTAACTTGAAACTCTTTTAACCCCTCTAATCTCTCATTCCCGGACCTTTTTTTTTTTCCCCCTTTCTTTTCTTCTTAGAGAGGAGGGCAAAGGACCATATATCACACACTGTAATTTTAAACATAATGCTGTCTGTTTGAATTAAAATTGATGCCGCTCCTGATAAAAGCCTAATAATCAATTCTCCATTCTCATTACTCTCCAGAATTATATGGACGCAGACCAATTTCTTAAGTTTGCGGACCACTCTCCCAGGTTATTACCCGGCAGTGCAGCTGAGTGGAAAGATAACCATATTCATTCTCCTTATCTGTAATGATGTAATGCATCCCAGCCCTGGGTCTAGATGATTGGGGAATAATGGGATTGTACAACTGCAGGGATGACAAACAATAGTGCAGCGTCTCTCTCTGATCCACTGAACCCCAGCCTCACAGGCAGGCGAGGTGAAAGGCACCACCAAATAAGCACGGAGTCTGGACCCCTTGGATGAAGTTAGCATTTTTTGGCCGAGGAGCATCTGCTCTGGCACTGAAACGGCAGTACCGACACCGACACGAGAGGAGAGCTGTGCAGAAGCACTGAGTTTCAGAGCCCCGGCCAGGACAGTGCCTGTGAGTATCCTGCTTTTCTTTGTGTTTAGAATCAAGTGTCATCTAAAAATAGCCAGCTGGTAGGGAGAAGTCACCGCACAGGGCATTGCCAAGAAACCGGGGATCAGGGACACCTCTGCTAACTGATGCTGCCGGGGGTTCACGTTTGTTTGGGAAACTAAAACTGCCTCCATTTTCTGTGCTGGAAAAAAAATCCTCGCTTGCTTCCTGCCACCACAGAAACCTTACCTTTTGCAGAAGCTGGGAGCCGGAGTACTTAGCAGCAATGGATTTTATCTCCCCGCCGAAAGCCGAGGCCCAGAGCTTCACCCTGCAAGGGAAAAGGGCACAGGAACCAATGTAACCCCCGTGTCACAGCCAACGCGCACGCACACGCACCCGCGGGCTGTGGCTGAAGGAGCCGGGAGAAAGATACACAGAAGGGGGGGCGGGGGGAGATGAAAGAAAAAGCACCAAACTGCAGAGCGCAGCGCGGGAGGGGGCGCGAGGGGGGTCACATAGTTCAAAATGTGCAAAGTCTCCCAGGCTGTCTGAAAAGATCACTGGGTTTTATTTGAATAATTGCCCGAGAACTTACCCACCCCAAATGGGTATCACCTGGCCAATACTCGTCAGAAGAAGCCCACCCATCCTCCTCCCCCAAAAGAAGTGAAGGTAGCAACGACGGGGTAAACAACCGGCCCATGGAAGTTGGGTTCAGTAAACAGGCTTCAAAGTTGGCGCTGTCACTTGAGGTGAGCCTCTCCAGGTCCCACTCGCCAGCCCGGGGGTCCGGGCTAGAGGGTCCCACCCCAACCTCGCCGCCCGCCCCGCTCCGCTCCTGGAAGGAGTGCAGGTGCGAGAGGCGAG